CAACAAAGCATTGAACTTGGGGTGTATCTTTGGGATCCCAGTGACTTACAGTGCTGAGGCATGAGGATTGCATTAGAGGCCAGCTTGGGCCACTTAGCAGGACTTTTTCAAAATAAACATAAATAACCAAACCCGGATACCTGTCATTTTCTCCCCTGTGTGTGGCACTGTCTGCCGTGGGCTATCAGGAGTGTCTCTCATGAGGGCAGAGTGCTAGGGGTCCCTTTGAATGAACCAAGTCCAGGTCCTGGTGCACACATGTTCTGTTTGAGTCTGTTTCCCACATGGGTAACTCTTTGGTGGTTTCTCACTGAGCTCAGAAATTTATTTTTCTTGTCCCAGGAGACACCCTTCATCTCTGCACTTGGCCTGTGGGTTTGGAGCCTCGCGGGAGCTCTGTAACTCTGCTGCCTAGATCTCAGCACATGGAAAGAGCCACTGCCCTGGTGAGGGTGGGCCTGGCATTCCCCCCACCCCTGCTTCCCTGCAGTACTGGTTATCAAACCCAGAGTCTCCCACATAGAAAGTAGCTCTCACCTGCCCACCGCACTTCAGAACTCAGATGTAGGTGAGCTCTGATGGTGGTTTCAGTGACCACCCCTACCCCTGTTGCTGCCTGATCATATCTCTTAGGAGGTCCCTCTCCCTGGAGCTCTCTACCTGGGCCCTCTCTCTGATCTGCCCATTTCTGAGTTCTTCTTTCTCAAGACTTCTGCCTACACTTGCAGAAACTGCTGCTGCCTCCCTTCCCCTTGTTTTCTGTGGCTCTGGAGCTGCTCAGAGCCCTAGAGCTGTCTGCTGAGGAGTCTGGGTGGTGGGCCTTTATCCCCCAGTTTCTCTTCTGTAGGGAGTTGGAATTCTTGACCCTTCTGTGTGGAGGGCTCGGATCTCAGGCCAGTCCCCTCTGTATGAAGACAGTGGTCTCTGGTGTTTAGAAGTCATTTTTTTCCTGGCCTCCTAGAACATGCTTGGAGTAGGCCAAAGCTAAAGAGACATTGGCTCTAGAGCCAAATTTAACAAGCTCCCCAATTTTGGTATGTGCATGAGTCATATTTAAATGCAATACTAAAGAAAACTAAATGGATATAAATATACTTCAGTATTAAATAAAGTGAGAATTAAAGAAAAACAAAAAGGATCTACTCTGAACATGAAGACAAAAATAGGGAAAGTTTTGTGTTGTGGCATTTTGGTTTTGAAGGATACTTCCATGTGTGGATTGTATTTTATTCTATCTATCTATGTATTTATCTATCTTTCTATCTATCTATCTATCTATCTATCTATCTATCTATCTATTATCTATCTATCTATCTATCTATCTATCTATCTATCTATCTATCTATCTATCTATCTATCTATCTCCTATTCATTTTTGTCACCAGCTGGGGATGCAGGGGAATTGAGAAAAGAGTGGTAAGCTGGTATTTAAGGACCAATTCAAGAGGGGAATGCAGAGCTTCTGCAGTGCATAGAGACACCTGTGTGTGGTGCTCTCTGCTGTGGGAAGTCAGAAGTATCTCCCATGAGGGCAGAGTGCTAAGGGTCCCTTTGGTTGAACCAAGTCCAAGTCCTGGCGCACACATGTTCTGTTTAAGTCTGTTTCTCACATGTAGAATGCAGACAAAGGAGGGGTATGACTCTTCATAACCTGATATTCTGAGATGCTAAAGCAGCACTGAGCCATTGACCCCCACATCACAGGAATCCTCAGAAGAGGAAGGCAAAGGGCCCTGAAAAAGGAGCAACCTTCAGGGCACTGTGCAAAGTGTGGGCTGGATAAGCAGAGGGCAGCAGTGAGCACTCTCCTTTCAAGATCCCCTTCAAATCTTGCTGCTGTTCCGGGACCTTGCATGAGAAGGTATCTGCACCATTTCTGGAAAATTAGGGAAAGCTGAAGAGTGCAGGGGATACTGGGCATTGCTCCTTGTGGGGTCAGGAGGCTCCTGTAGACCCTGGTATTGGTGCTCATTAGGGGGAGATTTTTTTATGGCTCTTCTCATGTTAGGGTGGGCAAAGCTGTAGCTCACTAGGTGGTGTGAGCCTGGGCACTGTGAGGGCACTTGACCTCAGTGAGCATCTCTATGAAGTGACGTTTTACTTGGAAGTCTCATGGAAAAAGAGATATGTTTAAGTTTACACACACAGACAGGTTAATAGGCACAAATTTTATTACTTGTGATGAGAAGAAGACAAAGTTTGCAATCTGAGGTTCAAACTGTTCCAAGAGACAACAGTGGGGACAGAAAGGTATTTGTTCACTTTACACTGGTCCTAGATGTCAAAAGAAGTCCATCTTGAAGAAGCTCATGAAATAATTTCAGCGTATTTGGAAAGGTGTATGTTGGATGTCTTTGATCTAGCTGTTTCTTGGATCTGCACTTTGTACAGGAGAAAGAGGACGGACACCTGGTTTGACCTGACACCTGGTTTTAGCCTGAGCTCATCCTGAACTCAGTGAGTGACCTGGTTAGACACATCTGCTCTTCCCTTTGCCCTTGTTCCCAGGCATCACAGTTGGGTTATGAACTTCTGTCTGGGTGTGAGTGTCTGCCCATTTAATAGACAGGTGGGCGAGGTGTCTTCCTGGAGATTTAGAGCATCATTGTGGATAGCAAAGGGCACAGGACCCTGTGGACACAGAGGTGGCTCACCTTCAGGTAGGTTGTGCTCACTGAATTCTGTGCTAGGATATTCCACTTCTTGCCCACCAGACGGTGACGTGAACCTTGAAATATACTCACCATAGCCTCAGCCCTGGAGAAGCTGATCTATATTTCAAGCATAAATTTAATTTTACATTTTTATCTGTTAAGACAGCATCATTATAGGAACTGAGCAAGACACTGTGGTTTCTCAGTGCTGTCATTCACAGCACTAAGGATGGATGTCACCATTGTACTAATCACAGCAGGCACCACAGCATATTGTAAAGGCTGTGTGCTCCTGGGCCAGGCAGGGGTGCTCCACAGAATCATGTGGGGACCCAGGCTAGGAAGGCTCCATCCCTGTGTGTGCAGCATGTGGAGTCCATGGCCTCCTCCCTCTGCTAGAGTGGGAGAGGAGGGCTGGAATGTGAGTGACTAATTGAACATTATTTTTATACGTTTAAGAAAACTGCCCCCCCAATCACTCCTTAAAAAGGCAAACCATGAAAGAGAAAGCAAAAGACACTCTTTATTTTACGATATGTCAGCTCATTAGCACTCTTACACTTCATGGAAAATTCAGGAACTACTCAACGTTTCCATTTAGCCCTTTTTTCTGTGATGCTAACATTATGTCAGATGCATGCATGTTTATGTTACCCAGGGAAACATCATTGTTTTGTGTGGCCAGTAGACAATACAGCTTTTCCATCACTTTTTATAACTTCTTATTGTTTCTCTGCGTTATTGTATAATTTTGTGTAAAATATTGCCCCAACCCAGCAGCTAAGCTATTAGCATTTTATCCTCCCTACCACCCTGCCTTTCTGTGAGTGAGGAATCAGGCAGTGGCTTCCTGTGTAGCCCTGGATCAGGGTTTGTCTTGAGCATGTTGTGCGATGTTGGTCAGTGGTGGAGCTGGTGCTTCTTGGGCAGAAGTTCTGGTTTCCATTCCCACAGCCAGAGGAATGACTTTTTCCACTCTACGAAGTAGTATAATTTTTAATTACATTTATTTTCCTTTTTTCTGCTAACACATTGCTTCTCAATCTCTCCAGGTTTATGTACATCTCAATGTGTACAAGGTACTCACCCATCGTTTGTGAAGCCAATATTAGTGCACATTCATCCACAAATTCCTGCCTTCCTGCATGTGCCTTTTACACACCTCCGCGTCTCTCTGGGTCATTGCTGCTCTGTGAGCAGTGTCTTTAGTGATTTCTCCAAAGTAAGGACAACTAAGTGTCTGGTTTTAATCACAGTTTCCCTTCACCACAATTGCTTCTTTCACCTTTCTGGGATTCCAAATATTTTAAAAATTACTTATTCAAAACATTCTTTTTACGTTTAAAAAACTGTGAATTATAATCTCTTCCACATAAATAAATATTTGCATATAAATTTAATACTCATCAGAAACAAGACCTTGGGATTTCAGTTACATTCACCAAGAGCTCTATTATCTAGGAATCACCTTCATAACCAAGGCACAAACTTCCACCCTCTTTAGTGACTTTTCCAACTCTTTTAATTCCCAAGATGAAGGCAGGGAGTTCAGGGTGTCAGGCAGGGAAAGTGGAGACTGCATCCTCACTGGATCCCTGCTGTTTCCTGGAAAAAGAAGAGAGAAATACAAGATTGAATACCCAATTAATAAACCATTTCGATTATTTTCCTTTAATAAGTTATTACAGGTTTTGTAATTTTTGTGTGTGTGATTAGATTTGAATCCCAATTTCACAAAGAACAGCATTTGTAAGCACAAGGGACCTGCAGAAGGTCTCTACATTATCCCTGCCTGTGCCAGAGTCCTTCCCAGGGCCCAGGTCCTGCTTTTCCTGCAGCGTTCTCACTCATCCTGTCTGCTCACTCAGAAGGACCCTGGACACCTCTGTGCTTGTCCTTCATGTGCCTGTCCAGGCTGCTGCAGCTGACAGGGCCACTCATGTTTGGCCACGCTGTGGCCCAGGCGTCATGGTCCACAGCCCTCAGCTGCACCCTGTTCTCTGAGTTCCCAGCACCTTCTTCTCACAGGGCAGAGAATCTGCTGAGTTGCTTCCCATACCTGCAGCTCATATGGCAGCTGGGCCACCCAGGCAGGGAGGTTTATTTTGGGGGGCTGCACCACTGTGGGAGGAATATGTAGACTTTACACACAGTAATATATTCCAGCATCATCAGACTCCACCCTGATGATTCTTATTGTGAAATCTGTCCCTGACCCACTGCCACTGAACCTGTCTGAGACCCCAGCAAACCGGTTGGAAACCCCATATATTAGGACATGTGGAGTCTGGCCTGACTTGTGCACAACCCAGTGCAAATAGGTTTTTTCATCACTGTATAGGAGACTCTGACTGGCCCTGCAGGAGATGGAGACTGACTGTCCATGGGTGACGAGCTTGGAGAGAGGAGTCTGGGTCATCACAATATCTCTACTGGTTCCAGTAGAAATCACAGAGCAATCTAAGATTATGTAGAAAATTTAAGAAATGTTTTTCCATTTTTTTGTACATTTAAGGCTAAATTAATTTTTGTTTTTGATTTATACATCCTAAACTATTCATATATATAAAGAACTCTACTTGAGTAAGTTCTAAGAGCCTCTCTAGAATTCCCTTCAACATACCACTCATATTATGTGAAAACTTTTATCAGAGCCAGTCTTTAGCTCCTTCTGAAATACTGTCTCACATAAATTGACCTCAGCTGCCTCATCCTGGAGGACAAACCTGCTCATCCCTCATGTGGACACAGCACACATGGGAAGAATGAGGCCCCAGGGCTCACCACCCTCCCCCTTCTCTTTCCCCATTCCCTCTGTCCACACCAGGGATCCAGAGGAGGAGCAGCCCCAGAAGCTGAGCAGGGAGCTTCACTTTGAGAAGCTGACCTGAGGAGTCCTGGTGAGTCAAGGCCAGGTTAGAGCTGAGCTTCATATCAGCCTTGCAAGAAGGCCCTCCCCAGTGGGCAGCATGCAAATGCCCTGGTGGGTGCTGGGTGGGGAAAGTGAGAGAGGGTGGGAACTGCCTTGTGAACCCAGGGACATCCTATGTCTTCTACAGTTGGAGGAATTAGAGCAGAGACATAGCCCTGGGTGCCTGTGGTGTGGTCAGGGAGCTCATCATGGAAGCCTCACTCTGTGAGTGGTCATAGGGAGGTGGCCTGCAGGTCAGCCTTTGTGAGGAAATGATCTTTCTGGTGTTCTCCTCTCAGCTGAGAAGGGAAGGTGACAAGTTCCACCTCACAAGTCTTGATGTTTGAAATTAATTCCAGCCAGAGCATGCAGTGGAAGAGATTCAAGAGCTTCTAGTGTCTGATGATACCTGCAGAAATACAAGAGCATCAGGGACAGTTTAGATGTCACATTTTCTTCACCCAGTGAATGAAATAAGAATACAAGTGTGAAAAGAAGCTGGAGGGAAGAGAAATCTTGTTTCAGCTGAAGAACAAGTAGCCCTGCACAAGAAAAGAGGACAAGGAGCATGTCCCCTGACGTAGTTAATGTGAAGCTCCTGGGGCGAGGTTTGTAACTGGTGTCCATCCTTTCCTAGTCATATTCATGCATTTGACACTCAGAGCCACCAAACATTTTCCAGGAGATGGACCCCTGAGCCCACAGGACAGTTTGGACAGAAAGGATTCTGCATTAATTTTTTCTCATAGATGCTAGAGACATCCCTCCCCATATGCTCCTTGTTGTCAGGGACACTAGGAAGCAGGTGCCACCACCCTGGGTTTTAAAGTAGACTCCCTAGGTCAGAACTGCACTCAGGCACTCTCCCTATATTCAGGGGTTTCAATGTGCACTACTGTTCTCTTGGGACTGGCCCCAAGGTGTCTTGGGGAGAAGGTCCTTTTCCCTGCACAGGGACATTGATTTCAGCCCTCTTCATCCACAGAGGTGGAACAGAGGGAGCCTGTGTTGTGTTGGCCAACATGGCTGTGCTGCTTTTCTCCCCAGCCCAGGACCTCTGACACACCCTCTCCACTGTGTGGAACTTGGGCCACCAGCAACCAAGGACCCTGCCATGTGTTTCTTAGTTTAACTGAACCTCTTTGGCTGTCCTGCCCCTAGTGGGCAGTATCCTCTGAACCTGTGAAATGTGCTTGTTTGTACTTTCCCCAGGCTGTGGTCTTCCTGTGCTTTTTCTGAATGAGCAGAAGGAAACAAAATGAAGGAAAATATGTTGAAACGCACTCGGAAGGAACAGGAAATGTGCAGAGTCTCAGAAAATTCCAGAGCACAGGACCCTTTGGGAGAAAGTGGTGGGCAGATCACTCCTCTGTCTTCTCCTTGCCCTAAAGACATCCTCAGGGTGTTTCCTTGGGGATCTCATGATGTGCCTGAGCCATCTCAGGTGCAGTTTAGATCTGTTTATCTTAACTGATTTCCATAGTTTATACCTGAATTCCTTGTAAAGATATTTTATAGGTAAGTAGATTTCCCTTTTCCATGAATATGCGTCAGTGCCCTATTTACTATTGTAAATGCTCCTGTTGGTGCAATGGAGCTCTGCAATACGGATGGTTCCCTGGGCACAATCTGCAGGCAGGGGATACACTGTACTCCATGTTAGTCCCTGGTGCCCTCTCTTTCCATTTCTTTCATCCCCACTCCCTCCCTCCTCTCTCCAGTCCTCCTTCTCCTCATTCATTTGGTCCTTTGTTATTAGTGGGCTCTAGACCTCTGTGGAGCTGGGCTCACTGCTGTGCTGTAGTGTCTGTTTCGAAGCACATGTTGTCATGTGGTGCATTCCTTCCACATTTTCTCCCTGTCCCAGTCTCCTCCTCCCATCTCTGTCTCCTTTGCCTCTGGTCATCCTTCTCTCCTTATGACACCTTACCCCCCTTTCCTCTTCCTTTGCTCCAGATTTTGCTCAGCAGTGTGACATGGGATCCTCACTTTCCAGAATCTGGCTCTTTCACTTGTCATGATGTTCTCCACTTCCATTCATTTACCTAAAATTCTGCCATTTCCTTCTTCTTTAAGGCCCCAGGTTCAGCCTGGATTGTGTGGGTGTGAACAGATAAGGAGGACCTCTGTGGCAGAAGAAGGCAGAACCTGACCACACTGCAGAGAGAGCAGAGAGCTCAGGGTGCCCTCAGCCATGAGCCATGTGGGACAATTGCTTCTTGTGTTTAGTTTTCTGATCCTTCTGATGAGATATGTCAGTGTAATGTCTCTCCTAGTTTTCTGTGTCTGAGCAACAAGTTCCCCCCTATTGAGCAGTGTGTTCCTTTCCAGGCCTGTCCCTCTGTAGTCCAGGATAGGTCCTCAGCTCAGCCTGAAAAGACTGAAATGGAACAGTCAGTGGCAGCTTTCCTTTCTGAAGTTCAGGGTCTTCTTCCAGGTCCTGTGGCTGTAGCAGAGTCACCTTTCCACAGTTGTAGTGTAAGGTCCCAATTTCCCTTTGGCCATTAGCACAGAGCTCCTGGAAGCTGCCCTAATTGTTTGAAATGTGTCTCCTGCTGCCTACAAGAGCTGCATTATAGCATCTCTTCACATCCAGTCTTCATGGCCTGAGATTCTCCTTCTTCTCCTTCATGTGTAGATGGACGTGTGTCAGTGATGAAGACAGATCTAGTGTGTACTCTCTCTCTCTCTCTCTCTCTCTCTCTCTCTCTCTCTCTCTCTCTGTCTTAGATTTAACTTATTTGATTATGCCTCAAAATATTTCATAGGAAATTTTATTGAAATTCCTGTTTGAGTACCTGGGGAGTGGGATGGTACAAGGCCTGGGTATTTGGGTCAACATCTTGGAATCCTGTCCACATTCTACCATTTTTTTTTTCAACTACCATAATGACTGGATCCCTTTTGGATATTCAGATGTGGGTGTTGTTTGGAGGAATCAGTTTTAATATTCCAGGTAAGCAGAGGATAAAGAGGTAACCTACAGTTGGCATATGAATGATAATGACTTTTCCCATCTTCCCTGTGTGTCAGCTGCATCAGGCACTAAGCACTCAGGAACACATGGCCTCATTGACCCACAGGCACTCACTGCCCTCAGCAGAGGCCTCAGAATCCCTGGTTGAACTCTGTTGCCTCCCAGCCTCAGGCCCTGTATGCCTCCACAAACTGACTTTGTGTTTTACTTCCATAGGACAAGCCATTCCCTCTCCCAGCCATGAGCATGTCTGATATGCATCCTGGGAACTTCAGGACAATCCACACAGTGGTCTCTCATGCAGTGACCCCCCAGGCATCAGTCTTGGAAATTCACTTACATATTCTCCCTTTGACCTGCTGATTTATTTTAGTGCCCAGTGGATCCATCCTGGTGCCACATGCTGATATCATCATGGAAACCAGACACCTGGCCTTCCTATAGGCATGTTGGTGACTTCTTTTTATCCCCGGGTTTCTTCCCAGCTGGAGAAGGTTTTGGATGCTCCATGCAGTACCCACCCAGTGAGGATTAGAATATTGGCTCTTTCTTAATGATTGTGTGTGACATCAGGTTAGTTTCTTCACTTTCGCCACATCTCAGTTTCTCATTAGCAACATGGGAATAATAACATATCATTAGAAAATTGCCTGAGGATTCACTAAAATAGCATATGTATATATTGTGTACATTAGCATCTGGGCACACACCACATTCTTAGTAATCACTAATTTTTATTGCTTAGATCAAATTTCCTGGGAAAGAAATGTACAGAGGGGTTGATGGTCAATAACTTTCCATATTCTTCTGTTTCACACAGTAACCAGTATCATCTTGAAACAACAAAACTCTGAACTTGGGGTGCATCCTTTGGATCCCAGTGACTTAGAGTGCTGAGGCAGGAGGAATGCATGTTATAGGCCAGCCTGGGCCACTTAGCAGGACTTTCATCAAACTAAACATAAATAACCAAACCCCTATACATGTCACATTCTCCCCTGGGTAAATCTTGGGTGGTTTCTCACTTAGCTTTGGGGCTTATTTTTCTTGTCCTATGGAGACACCCGTGGTCCCACATCTGGACTGTGGGTTTGGAGCCTCACGAGGGCCCTATAATCCTGTTACTTAGATCTCAGCCCATGGAGAGAGCCACTGCCCTGGTGAGGGTGGACATGGCATTTCCTCCCAGTTTTTCTGCAGTTCTGAAGTTCCAACCCAGCTTCTCCCACATAGTAAGTAGCCCACACCTGAAAACTGTGCCACCGAACTCAGACGTAGGTGAGCTCTGACAATGGTTTCAGTGATCACCCTGACACCTGTTGCTGCCTGGTGGTATTTCTTAGCAGGCTCCTCTCCATGGAGCTCTCAAGCTGGGCCCATATCTGACCTGCCCATCACTGAGTCCTTCTATCTCAAGACTTCTGCCTACACTTGCACAAACTGCTGCTGCCTCCCTTCCTCTCATTTTCTGTGGCTCTGGACCTGCTCAGAGCCCTGTAGCTATCTCCTGAGGAGTCTGGGTGGTGGGCCTTTATCCCCCAGTTTCTCTTCTGCATGGAGCTAGAAGCCCTGACCCTTCAATGTGGAGGGCTCTGTTCCCAGGCCAGTCCTCTCTGTATGAAGACAAAGGTCCCTGTTTAGAAGTCACCTGTGCTCCTGGCCTCCTAGCACATGCTCCAAATAGGCCAAAGCTAAGGAGGCTTTGGCCCTGGAGGCCAAGTTTAACAACCTCCCTAATCTTGGTATTTGCATGAATCTTATTTGAATGCAATACTAAAGAAAATTAAATGATTGTAAATATATTTCAGTAATAAATAAAGTGAGAATTAAAAAAAAAAGGATCTATCTTGAACATGAAGACATAAATAGGAAAAGGTTTGAGTTGTGGCATTTTGGTTTTGAAGAATACTTCGATATGTGGATTGTCTTTTATTCTACCTATCTATCTATATATTATTTTTGTCACAGGCTGGAGATGCAATAGGGTTGAGAGAGGAGTGGTAAGCTGTCATTTAAGGACCAATTCAGGAGGGGACTGCATATCTTCTGCAGTGTAGAGCCACCTGTGTGTGGCGCTGTCTACTGTGGGCTGTCAGGAGTGTCTCCCATGAGGGCAGAGCACTAGGAGTACCTTTGGATGAACCATGTTCACATCCTGGTGCACACATGTTCTGTTCAAGTCTCTTTCTTTCCCACATGTAGAATGCAGACAATAGACAGGTGAAGGGTTTGACTCTTCATAACCGTATATTCTCAGATGTTGAAGCAGCTCTGAGACCTTGGCCCAGCATCACAGGAAGTCCAAACAAGAGGAAGACAAAGGGCCCTGAAAAAGGAATGACCTTCAGGGGACTGTACAAAGTATGGGCTGGGCCAGCAGAGGGCAACAGTGAGCACTCTCCTTTCAAGGTCCCCTTCAGATCTTGCTGCTGTTCTGGGACCCTGCATGAGAAAGTGTCTGCACCATTTGTGGTGGGCAAAGCTGTAGCTCACTAGGTGGTGTGAACCTGGGCACCATGATCTCAGGAAGCATCTCTCTGGAGTGACTTCTTACATGGAAGTCACATGGAAGAAGTGATATGTTAAAGTTCACACACAGAGACAGGATAAAAGGCACACATTTTATTACTTGTTATGAAAAAAAGACAAAGATTACAAGCTGAGGTTCAAACTGTTCCAAGAGACAATAGTAGGGACAGGAAGGTATTTGTTCACTTCACACTAATCCTAAATGACAAAATAAGTCCATCTTAGAAGGAGCTTCTGAAATAAGTTTAGCATATTTGAAAATGTGTATGTGTACTGCAGCTGCCATGACTTGCCCTTGTTCATTAATGTTTCTACATAATTTAATACATGTGTTTAAATCTTCATGTTTTCATGGTCTAATGACTTCTCTGCACCAATGATTTGCTTTCTCATAAGCCAGTTGTTTTATTAATGGCATTGCTCGTTCTGTATTCCCCAAAACTCAGGTAACTGTTTGAATAAGCCTATCTACAAATTCAGCATAAGATTCATTAGCTCCTTGTATTACCTTAGATAATTGACCTTGTAAACCTCCATGTCCTTGTAAAGTCTTCCATGCCCTAACCGCATCTGTAGCAATTTGTGCATATATGCCAGGATCATATGCAATTTGTTGCTGCTGATCCTCATAAGGTCCCTTTCATAACAACATATCTAGATTTTTCTGAGGATAACCAGCTGCTGCATTTTGCCTAGCCATTTCCTTGCCAAATTCCTCATTGGCAACCTTCCATAACAGGTATTGTCCTCCATTTAGCACAGCTTTACACATATTAGCCCCATCTGCTGGAATCATGTTCAAGTTGTTAATGGATTCAACCATGCTTACAGTGAAGGGTGCTTGAGGACCATAGGTTGTTACAGCCTAGCTTCTTCACTGTTTTGAAATTCAAAGCATTATGAATTCGCTGCCCTCCTGCCTCAAATACAGGGCATGTTAATATTTGAGATCCTGTCTCAGGATCCCATCTATCAACTGCAGGGGTTGGGGCCCTCCCAGCATATGAAGGTGGCCTTGTTTGTTGGACACTTATGTGCTCTGGTAATAGAAAGATGTTAGTAGCAGTTTCCTGTTGTAACTTTCCCCCTGATGGCTTTTTCTGCTCTAAACTTTCTTCCTCTGTCTGACTAGCTTGAGAGACCTTCTCTTTTACTTGAATTTTTTACTCTGTCTTACTAGCTCGAGAGACCTTCTATTTTACTTGAAGTTTTTTCTCTGTCTTACTAGCTCAAGAGACCTTCTCTTTTACTTGAATTTTTCTACTATAACTATAATACAACCCAACAAGATAATGCCTAACAAAACTGAAACAGAGTGAAACAAAATTGAAACAACAAAAAATTATTATAATAGCCTCCTGAAACGTCCATCCGTCCTTTCTCCATATCTGTTTCTCATATGTGAGCAGTTTTTCTTCCATCTTACACATCTCCAGGGACAGGCAACTTAAAACAAAAGTGAAGCAAAACAAAAGAAAAATCTTAAAATGGCTACCCATCCTCTCGTCCTGCCCTCAGGGGTGAGCAGTTTACCTTATCATTTACCCTCAGTCATTCCCTATGCAAGCCACCAAATGCCACAGTCTGGCTGGGCAAAATTCAGGAGGCACTTGTCAAAAGAAACAAACTTTATTTTTAGAACACACACACCGCACCACACAGCTGTTCAGGAAAAAAACTCTCAGAGCCCAACTGCCACCATCAGCTTCCCACAAGCCTCTCCACCTCCCCCACTCCTCCTGCTCTTGAGGCTGATTGGCTGGGTCATGTGGGCAGAGCCAAAAAAAGTCCCCCAATGAGCATCTCCGTGGTCTGAAAGGGTGGGAAAGCAGCCCAATGAGCATCACCACAGAGGAGCCAATTATTTGGCAGCTAGAAGTTTACCGGGGCTGCTGTGAGCCAATCATCAGCTGGCAGCTGGAAGTTTGCTGGCAGCTGGAAGTTTGCTGGGGTCCGTTCCGTTGTGGCTCTCAAGAACAAACCATGAAAGAGAATACAAAAGACACTCTTTATTTTTACAGAGATAAGTCAGTTCATTAGCACTCTTACACTTCATTGACAATTCAAGAAGTATTCAATACTTCCATAAATTGGCCTTCTATCTGTCATGTTAATATTATGTAAGGTGCATGCTTGTTTATGTTACCCAATGAAACAACATTACTTTGTGCGAACAATTGACAATACAGCTTTGCCATC